GTGTAACCACTGCCGCGGGATACGTGTTGGCGGATTCATGGCAAACCCGCCAATGGGAAACCCAAACGGGATCATCGGGCAGCTGCCACCAGCACCACTGAAGGCTCTCTAGGAACGAGCCCATTCAGCGAGGAACAGATTCATGCCCTCCAGAAAATGCTCGGTCAGTTGTCACCAGTCCAGCCTACTAGTGTGGCATCGGGTGCTACCGACCTTGTTACCTATCAAGGTATTTCCCCATCCGCGTTCATCTTGGATTCAACTTCTTCTCGCCCTTGGATTGTTGACTCAGGTGCCTCTGATCATATGACCGAGGATGTCTCCTTATTAATGGATTACCGGCCGTGTAATCCGACCCTCACTGTTTGGATTGCAGATGGATCAGCTTCCAAAGTTGCTGGTCTTGGTTCTGTCCTCATCTCTTCAGATTTATTCCTCACTTCTGTGCTTTATGTTCCGACTTTGGATTGCAATCTGATCTCTATTAGTAAGCTCATTCATGATTGTCATTGTGTTGCTAAATTTTTTTCATATGTTTGTGAATTTCAGGATTTGAAATCGGGGAGGATGATTGACAGACAGTGCTGAGTTGCTGGTCTCTATCTCGCTGAGTTGCGCAATGGTCTACAAACCCTCTGTCAACCCTCTGTCAGTTTAGTCTCACCCACCGGGAGTATTCCAGTATCAAGTCTGTCTCGCTTAAATCCGCTTCGTACATCTGTATTTCCTTCTAGCGTTAATAATGATAGTGAAATCATGTTACTTCATTATCATTTAGGTCATCCCAACTTTATGTACCTGGGGAAATTGTTTCCTCATTTATTTATTAATAAAAGTCCTACCTCTTTTAATTGCGAATTTTGTCAACTTGTCAAACACACTCGTAGTTCATTTCCTCGATTATCATACAAACCCACTCGTCCTTTTTCTCTGATTCATAGTGACGTCTGGGGTCCTTCTCGTGAAAAAAATATTTCTGGGGCCCAATGGTTCGTGTCTTTTATTGATGATCACACACGAGTGACATGGATCTATCTTATGCATGACAAATCCGAGGTATGACCAATATTTTGTGCATTCTATCAGATGATACTCACTCAATTTAACACAAAAATTCAGGCTCTCAAAACAGATAATGCACGAGATTTTTTCAACACCTCTCTAGGAACTTTTCTTACTCAACATGGCGTCCTTCACCTTAGCACATGTGTTGATACTTCCCAACAAAATGGGGTTGCCGAGCGGAAAAATCATCACTTGTTGGAGGTAGCCCGCTCTCTCATGTTTACCACATCAATCCCTAAATGTTATTGGGGCGAGGCAACATTGACCTCTGCCTACCTCATAAATCGGATGCCCTCTCGTATTCTGGGTTTCCGTAGTCCAATTGATGTCCTCATTCGCTCCTTTCCAAATACCTGTACATTCTATTCTGTTGTCCCTACCAAATTATTTGGTTGCTCCGTCTTTGTTCATATTCACAAATAACACCGCAGTAAATTAGACCCCAAATCTGTCAAATGCATATTCATAGGGTATTCGACCAACAAGAAAGGCTACAAGTGTTATTGTCCTTCAACTAAAAAGGTCTATAATTCTATGGATGTCACCTTTTTCGAGCATCAATTATACTACCAAGGGTCTGTCATTCAGGGGGAGAGTAGTCATAGTGAACAACAACCCTGTGTTCCTTTACCAACTGACACGGGTCCCTCAC